AAAGTGCAAGATTATATTGCGTGTTGCTACCAACTAAGATTTATTAAATTATCATGAAGTCTGGAAGTCATGTCTGAAAACGAAGCAGCAAAATCCAATTAGTTCAATTTGTTGTCATTTCATTGCACACCTAATAGCATTAAACAAAACCAGACAATGTTTGAAACCAGGAGTCTGGACTGAGGACAGGTGTACTCCGATGACCTTCTCAGATGTCCTCACTGTCTGCTACTGTCTGCCCTCTTGTGTCCTGTAATGTAGAATGAGGATCACACTGAGATGGCGTATGACACACAATTACAATCCTCAAGAGCTTATCTCCACAGTTCAGTCAAACATAGAGCGGATTACGATGTTTCCACCTCTGTTAAAAAAAACCAAGGTGCTTGAAACTTGAAAGGTTGAGATTGGGATTGATAATTTTTTAACTTTTTAAATGTGACACATATCCTGTATAGTTCAACTGAAAAGCAAACAAGTCTGTTAGAGGGATGAATATAAACAACTACAACGGAAAATCTGGTTCAGTTCATTGTGCAAAGATATTAGTCAGGAGGGTACAAAAACATTACACAGGACTGTTTATGTACTGTGTGATTATTTTGGTAAAGTGAAGACAGTCATCAGTAATTAGAGAAACCCCACGTCCAAGTTACAAAACCTTGAGGTTTTCCAAAGCTGAATTTACAAGATTTAAATTGGTCAGAAAGATTGCTGTGAGTCATTTCCAACAAGCACTGCTTGTGCTCAACAGATGACAAGAATGTGCTGCGTTCTCCATATGTCTGAACTAACAGGAAGGAAGTAAACTCCTATCGTGGAACGTAGAGGCACACCATCATTTTCTGGGGTTACACTTCTTCGAATGGAAGTGGAGTTTCATCAAAGTGGATGAAATTATAAAAAGTTCTAACTACCAATCATTTTGACCTAAAATCTGATTACTATTATCTACTAGAAAGATGAAGATGGAGGATTTGTGTCATCAGCTTCGCACCGCAGTCATACACCAAAATCAACAAAGAAGTGGCTTCAGCAGCGGAACATTCAAATATTTGAATGTTCTATTTGGAATCCAGAACTAAACAAGACAGATAATCAATTGCACAAGAGATGTCCTCACAATCTAATGAATAACATGAATTTTGCAAGTTACAGTGGGAGATTATTGCCAAGTCAAAATGTGGAATGCTGATGGATTCGTACTATGTGCTTCAGCAAAGTAGTACTAAGGTAGTTTTACAGTACTATCTTGCCAGGTTATTTTTATGTGTTTTTCATCCCTCTGAGAAAGTTGAATTGTACAGGACATACATTTAATTAAGGAAAAGGTTTTGAAATTATGTATTATGATACATTAAAATGTATTGTGGACAATTTGGGATCCACTCTATTTGGTGGTTCCGAGAAAAAAAAAATCTCGATTGTTTCATTTGGATTTGGGCAATAAAGTGAATGCAGACGACAGTGCGTGCTTTTTAAGCTCAGTGCTAAGAACAGAAATCTGACTGGCTGACTTGAATCATGTTTCAGTGTTTCAATCTTAACATTGAAACATATTAAGATGTTTCAACTTGCTGCCAGCGCTACAATTATGCTGTCAGTGCATAGTTGTAGCGCTGACAGCATAACAAACAGGCTCAATCATATGGTTTACTATAAGTCATTGAAACAAAGGGTCAGTGAAAGCAGATTAGGTCAAGCGCCGCAGAAACATCTGCAGCGAGTGACCACAAACGCTCCACTACAACAAAGGCGGCCTAACCCAAGTATATAATTGTACGCCGATGTTCCTCCAGCAACATCTATATTTTGTTAGGTGCTCGGTGATGTAATCCAAAACATTTAGATACCAGTGCCATGCCGTTGAATTTAGATCTGGGGGAACAAGTAGAGTAGAAAAACATCTTACAGGGGCGATACCTGCTGGGATTCTGGTATGAGGATATACATCTCCATAGATGCGAATAGTTTATTTTTCTTAAAAACAGCTTTGACCTTCACCAGTGTTGATCTTCCCATGCTTTCTTGCTGTTTGAGCTGGGATCCTACTTATGTGTGTGTGTGCGTTTGCGTGCGCGTGTGCTTGATGCACAGGTCTTGTGACACATGGCCTCAGACAGAGAGTGTCTGAAGGGAGAGAGAGTCTTCCATGGGTTGGACTCAAAACAAGTGACGCATGACTGAAGAGGCCCAGGAAGTTCCAGCAGGCGGCTGTTATTGCCGAGAGCCGAGATTGTGTATGAATGCGTGTGAGTGGGTGTCTGTGGGTGTTTGTGTAAGTGTAAGTCGGGGCCCACAGGGGACGGCATGGGGCAACACAGGCTGGAGTGTCTGGGAAAAGTCTGCAGTGACAAAAGCAGCAGTGTCGCTTGCAGCATATCTGTCTGCGACACTTTACTCCCCCTGGAGTGTAGCAGAATGTGATCCGTGACAACTAGGTTGCAAAATTTATTTATTTATTTATTTATTTTTTGCATAAATCTAAGGGAGTGTGAGCGCACTTTCGGAACTCGTTTGTAAAAATAAAACACCTTTTTGTTACTTACATCCAGAATCCAGTTTAAAAGTCTCTCAAACTGCAGACAGATCAAATTATTTGCTGCTTCTCACGTGTTCTCTCCCGGACCAGCAGCCAATCACTCCCCAGACTGCATTGGTACGACGAACATTCGACAGGAGTGGCTGTGACGCCCTGGGCGCAGGGAAACAAAAGCTTACAGACACAGCAGACTTCAGGGCTATCAGCCGCGCTCTAATCTCGACCCCATGGGACAGACGCAGCCTTGTTGCTCCCACATGGCCGAATCAGACACAACACTGGGACGTGTCTGAGTTAAACCTCTAACTAGGTTACACCGCGAGTTCTGTCGCACAGACACGGCCAGACATTATTGTATTCTATCAGAAGCATATTATGTGTTCCAAGATAGCAATGGCAGCAAATGATTGTCCTCCAGACAAAATTTTGCTTCCAAGAGGACATATTTTGTTTTATTTTGGGGGGGGGGGGTTGTTTGTTTTGTTAAAAATGGCAATCCACTCATACCAGACAATTTCTCAATGAAAAATGGATTTATTTAATAGACCCAGTGTCTCTGCACTTGAAAATATGATTGGACTTTGGAGCAAATTTGTACAGACTGATGTTGAAAGCTGGACTTTTTAAAGCGTTCACATCACGTCAAAAATTTCTCCAGCTTTAGATGTTGAAACTCTGGCTTAGTTTGATTGTCTAATCAATTCTAGTAACTTTTCAGACACATTTGAAGAGGCTTGCGTTTTTGAATGGGTTTTCAATAACCAAATGGAAAATCTTGTCACAATTAGAATGGAAAAGATACGATAGAAATTTGGTCTATGTGTCATGCCACACATTTTTTAATGTTTTTTTTTGTTTGTTTTAAAGAGACTGAGACCTGGGTTAAAGGCCAAACAAAAGGTTTGTGAAGAGAAAATGCATAAAATTAGCAAAATTATAGGAGAATATATGCACAAACTGTCACAGTGTTAATAAAAATCTATCAAAAAATAAAAGGTACGTCATGGGGAAATGACCTGTGGCCGTAGGAATCAGGCTGGGAGGCTCTCGAGACTTGAATGGCTGGAAAGGGGTCTGATGACAATTCCAATTTTCTGTCAAATTGTTCTGCCAAGAACTCACTAGATTTATGAGATATGTTTTTGGATGTTGGCCTGTAGTTATAGGATAGTTTAATTTCAAGATATATTGGTGACAGTTTTCATTTACAAAGTTAAAAATAACTCCAAACCCCAAATTGAAATAAAACTGAATAACTTTATCATGCATGTCTTACGTAACCAAAGTGATCTCTGAGGTCTTCGTTGCTATCTCATAGCCATCAGACAGATGCCAAAAAGAATCTGGCTCCCTCAGAAACAGTGAAGGATATAACCTATGTGCAAAGCTTCTTGTTTGCTGTTGGCTCAGGTTTGACTCTTGATAAAAAAAATAATAATAATAATTTGAATACCTCCTGTCAAATACTCAAGGACAACATACAAATCAGTTTCTGACTAGGTGTATTGTTCCAAAACAGATGCTGCACAACTTTCAAAAGATTGATGGATGCTCCTTGGGCTCTGAAATTGGTTGACAGGAATCCAATGGAAAAGTATCTTGTCAAAATAAATCTTGTGTGGTGCCAAATTGCATAAACACACCTCTGGGCTTCAAGCGAGATTATTCAGCAGAGAGAACCTGCAGGAAGAAAACCTGAGATCACTGATAACACACTGTGGTGATGCATGTTTGTTGAGGGTCTACTACATTTACCACTCCTGATTTCTATGAGACACATGTCTTTATTATTGTGATTTGCTGAAAAACTGACACTGTCTCTTGATTGGGTTTCCTATCTTTCCGCCCATGAAACAAGTTAAAAGAAACATTGTAGAGATGTAGTGTGTCTTCAGAAACTGGCTGTCAAAACAACCTTGCAACCCCACATCGAATGCACAACAGCACCACCATGTGGTCACACTGAGCCTGCGCACTGTGTAGTTTGTCGCATTAAACTATTATGTTTAATTGTTTTAAATGTGGCAAAAGCGAAATTAATTATAGTAAGAGTTACATGATGTGGAGAGAATAGTTTAGTTCAAATGCGACTGTTTGCATAAGTGTTAGCACAACACGGCAAAAGTCCATGCCTGAATTCTGTCGAAAATTTGCTAAAAGACTTCAAAATCCTTTTAAAAAGACAATATCAATACATTCTTACAAAGTTTTAGCTATTTTAGAGGGGCGTTGGTGGACATTTTCAGTGTATAGACGTGCAAACTCCGTTTTGCAGATTGGAGTTAGTATGCTTTCTAAAAATTACGGTGACATGTATTATATTTGCCTTTTATAAAAAGAAATGAAATAACCATAAATAGAAACCACTGACTGTGTAAAAAATATGTTTAAACTGCTTCCTATACACATTTTTGCAAGGTCGTCCTTTCCACGGGTTAGCATTGTCCTTCACGTCACTCCGTAGTTCTTCCTTTTTTCTAACTGTGCAGAGACTAAAGATGGCTGAAGCTCCTCCATGCACAAGCCGGTTCTTCTGTCACAGATGCTCACTGGAGATTATTCCTCGGCTCCCCGTGAGTATTAGTAATGAAAAAATATTGAAGGCGAAAACTCTGTCAAGGAAAACACCACTTGGTTGTTTTTGCTTTCATACACTTCGGTGTAGCGACCTGATAGTCGTTAGCATGTTAACATTGCTAACAGCCTCCTGAGATGTTCCGCTTATCATTCACCTCAACCTACGTAGCTGATTATCTTTGTTATAATCAAAACATAAACTGCGTACTTATTATGCTCGCTTATATGCCACTCGTGTTACACTACTTGCAACAGCGTTTAATTAATTTCTTATGCATCCAAGTGGCTGTGTTGAGGCTAACTGCTAGCTGTTTTGATCAGTGGTGTTATATTTAACGTCCAGAAAGGAACTGCGTGGATTCGTTGATTAAAACATGTATATGTTTTATATTTAAGCACAGCTCACATTTGTTTGATATATTTTTAGCGCATCGTATGATTTATTTAACTGCTTTAAATATTTAGTTTGGTTAGCTGCTCAGGTAAACAGCAGAGTTGTGCTTGCTTGTCTCTGGTAGTCTAGAATGATCTGTCACTCTGTAGCCATGCTCTTTAAAACATTAGCCGTCGATCTCCGCAGCCACGGCTAATACAACTACGCAACACATACGGCAGATAAGAAGATAAGATGATTTTGCTATTACTGTAAATAAATACATAAAATGCAATCCCTTAACTTTGCCAGTGGCATAAAAATGCGACAGGAGCATATGTGTACATATAATATGTGGTTAGACCTTATTTAAACGTCTGTTTAACGTCTTTAAAACTGGAGGAGGGTTACTATGGAGCTAACAGCAGAAGGAACGGTTGGCTGCTGGGTTTTCTATTTTAACCATGTAACCAGAAACCTGATCTCGTATTTCATTGATTTCAATGCTATTACTTTGCTAATTGCGATATATAAAATAAACACTGAAGTAGGTGTGTTTGTACATTTTTGTGGCATGTCAAAACAATGATGTATAAATTATATCAGGTTAAAAACTGAAACTTAAAGCAAACACTGATGTAATTGGATTGTAATCTGTGGGAAGTTGTGACTGAATTATCACTAAAGAGTAGTTCAGTTTCCAAATTATTTGTAGATATTTCCATGTCTATCAAAAAACCATAATTACATTTTTTATGGTTAGGACTAAGATGGTCAATGATTGTTCTGTGTGTTGTTTTTGTGAATAGTTATTTAATATTTGTAATACCTTGGATTTATTGTAACAATGATAAACTTAACAGTATAATGTTTGCAAAGTTCAAAAATCTAAATCTAGTGTTGAGATTGTGATTTTTATTTAATTTCTCCACTGTTTCTTCTACGGGAGCAGCAATAAATATCAGTCTGTTTAAACATATAAATACTCGCTGACAGGACATGCACATTACAATGTTTTAAGCATCTCTTTATTTTGCGTTGCATTGATCAATAGGTGGCTTTAAGTTTTGTGTTATCTCTTTAAAGGTTCAATTGGATGCATTTTGGAGCTAGATGAAGTTTCATCTCGAATTTGACTGGATAGTCTCTATAAACAGTTTTGATCATAAAATTGTTGTCTGATCCAGTTTTGCCAGTATTCACTCAGAGGATGTTGATCTAAGACTGGCTATCCCTGTTTATACATAAATGTATTTGTAATGATGGATCTGCTTCTTGATGACTATATTTCAGCTAGATTACTGGGTTTATTGTGTAAAAGGTGATCCTGTTTGTTGCGTTCACTACATTATGCCTTTTCATTCTTGAGTTTATTACAAATGTAGATAAAAATGCTGCTTTTACGTGTTGCACAAAAACAAATTACACACAGATTAGTAGTGTTGTGACTGTCAACTGCTAAGTTGATCCCATTTTGCCACCTGTGCGCTGCAAACCCTAGAAAACATGGGGTGTCTGTTAGAAATCTGGCCTAATTATCCCTTCCAGTTGAAATCCTGCTCAGCTGGTTGGTAACTCAGAGTGTGTGATTCTGGATGTTAATGTGAGATGGGTGGAGTAGTAAGGATATATCTGATCTGACGCCTCTTATTGCGTACTTGATTGAACTAAAAATGTTTAAAGTTGACGGGAAATTTGAAAATATCACCTGATAATTATGTGCAATTGGAAGATTAATATCTGAACACCAACTACAAATTCTTAAAAAATGCAAACATTTAACAAAATCTTAAATAAATAAGCAATGCTAAGTCTGGTGGGGGCACAAGTAAAGCCTTGTGGCCCGCCAGGCTTATAATACACTGGTTAGAAACCCTGGGGTGGGAAATAAAATGCACTCTGTGCTCCTATACTAAAATTTGTAAATATTAAATCGTGAGGGAATCTTTTTTTATTATTATTCATAGATTTCAAATAGGTAATTTAAAGTTTAGCATTCAACATTACACTGCATTGCAACTGCAACCACACAGATTATTATAGCTGTTCATAAAATTAAAGTACACAGTGACAGGTCTGTTGTTGAACTTTTTGTTTTTAATCTATGCTTTTTTGTTCCTTCACAGGAATATATGTGTCCACAATGTGAGTCTGGATTTATTGAGGAGCTGCTGGAAGAGAGAAGGTGCATGCAAAGTAGTAACTAAGCACAATGCAGCAAATATCCTGAATTATTTAAATAAATAGGCGTGATTAGACCGCTGTTTATTGTTAGACATATTTATCCAGATATTTTTGTCTTTACCAAAAAGAAGCTTCATTTACCTTGATGACATACTGACATTAGAATGTGAGGCCACCTCTGAAACCCATCATTTAGATGATTTTAATCAGATTGTCAGGACATAAAATACTTAGATTCAGGTAAGTTCACAACATTTAGGTTTTAAGTTGTGCATAACAGAGTCCACAACTTTTGTTTGGGTGAGTCTTCCAGATAGAAAATTGACTGTGGGTGTTAAATATTAACTGGGCTCTATATTTTTTGCTCTGATATTACACTTTACCTAGTATTATGACCATGTTACCGGAATGGGCAAATATCTGGGGAGACGTGCTCTATTATTTACATCCGAATCAGAACTTGAAGGAGTGACAAACTGGGCAAGAAGTGACAGCAAAAACCTGCTGATGTAGATATTTTAAATCATTCTGGTTTGAAAAACGTGGAAAAACAATGTTCCTACTAGGCTCCCTTGTAACTTTGTCAACAATCTGCTTCCCTGTCTAGTGCTGACAATGGGTCCATGTCCACCATCTCCAGCGGACCCCAGAACCAACAGCCATTGGAGGTTTTTAACCTAATCTTTACTCAGATTCTTGTCTTTAACAAGGAGCTGCCTGTGCCTTTTGACTCCTGTGACTCTGTTATGCACACTGCTGTGTAACAGAGTCAGCAGTTCTTAAAACTGCTTTAGCTGACATTTTTGTTGAACCCGTAGTTGACATGATTGAATTTGTCATAGCTTTCAGTTCTGCTTTTGCACATTTTTTTTTTCTTTTGTGAAGTTTACCTTATAAATAAGGCTTTGAGTTGTTGATTTCTTTTATTATGCCGTTTTTGTTTGTTTGTTTTCAGAATATGGACCAGCAGTCTATGTTCCCCTCCGGCTTTGGTCAGTTTTCCGTTAGCGTCTTTGATGACACCTTTGACCTCGGGCCTGGACTAGGGACAGAGGACAATCGGGATGCTGAAAACCAGTCAGAAAGGGACATGTCGTCTCGGCAGCGATACGGTGCCAGGCAGAGTAGAAGTCGTCATGGTTCAAGACGCCAAGCAGGAAGGCACGACGGAGCTCCTACTTTAGAAGGGTGAGTCATTTAGACATTTCTGCTTTTCTATTAGCACCACCCTATTTTTCTAAATGTTCTTTTTCCTTCCCTGGCTGTCATTTGTTTGTTTTTTTTCCTAGAATCATCCAACAACTTGTGAATGGAATACTTGGACCTCCTGTAAACATTGGTGTTGGGGCCTGGTGAGTCTGTGGTACTGACATTTGAGAAGCAAAGAGATAATCTTGCAGCAGTTTCTATACTCCAGTATCTCTTATTTTAAAGGGGGGTCCTCCACTCCAATCCGATGGACTATGCTTGGGGTGCTAATGGACTTGATGCTATTATAACACAGGTAAAAATAAAAATAAAAATAAATAATAATAAGTAAACAACAAATAAAATGTAAGTTATGTTTTTTGCAAGTCTGAAGTATAAATAAAGTAATTCAATCATGAATATTTTCTTCTCTGTTTAGTTATTAAACCAGTTTGAGAACTCGGGTCCACCGCCTGCTGACGGTGACAAAATAAGAAATCTTCCTACACTGGAAATTACCGATGAGCATGTTGGTAAGTAAAAAGGACTAAAAGCAACAAACGTTTAGCAGCTAAAACTCTAGACATTCAGACCACTGCACTGTCTTTGCACGGTGGGTAAGCTAATTTCCTGGACATTTTTTATCCACACAATTACCTTGACAAGATGGTGTAAACATGCAAGCATTAGGCTAGCGCTTCGACAAAGTTTTCCATTGCCAACCGGAGCAAGATTTTGAAGTCTTTTTCAAGAGTGTAGGTGTTTGTTTGTGACTGACATTTTATCAATAATGAATACGGTAAATCCCCAACAGAGCAGCCTGATAGTAGAAGTTCATAATACTTTCTTTCTGTGGGGCAAATCTGTTCACATACTCTGTGTACCTGACGTTTTCACACACTTCTTTTCAGCTTCAGGACTGGAATGTTCAGTGTGTAAAGAAGATTACAGCGTTGGAGAAAACGTGCGACAGCTCCCGTGCAATCACATGTTTCACAATGATTGCATAGTCCCCTGGCTGGAACAGGTATTTCACGTTATCCTACCCCATTTTCCCTTCTGTTTACTGTAAGCGTTACACCGGTTGGTGTTTGAAACAGGGTCACGAAGGGTAAACATCCATAACACCCCCGTGTTTGTTTTCTGCAGCACGACACTTGTCCAGTGTGCAGGACGAGCTTGACTGGACTGAACACGGCAACAAACCCTCCAGAACTCTCAGAGATGAACTTTTCATCCTCCCCTTCCTCCTCCTTGTCCTCCTCCTCTTCGTCGCCATCCTCCTCCTCCACCTCTTCTTCCCCTCCATCCTTGGATTCCACCAGCAACGAGAGCTCCACTGATAACTCGTAGGCAGGGTATTTGTATCCGTCACCTCATGAGCCGGTTTCTGCTCCTCGGCTGAGCAGTGACCTCCAGTCCCTCCCTGCTGTAGGGCAGAGGCCTGAGTGCATATCACCAGGATCACTCAGGCCTGTTTCAGGGGTAAGTGATACATGTGTTTATGTATTTTTGCCCGCTGTGTCCCCTCCGTGCCCCCACCACCACCACCACCACCACCTTCACCGGGAATGTGAACAATGGAAGGGCAGACGCCTGCGGTGCAGCTTCTGACTGGGAGGATGTGGAAAAGCGTGAAAACTTCAAGAGATTCGTGGAGCTCAAAGCACCTCTTAAAAGAGGAGAATCCAAAGGTAGAAGACCAGGAGCGCCGAGACAATAACCAGTGTTTTTTCAAACCTCCAGCCTTGGTTGATATAATACGACCCACTTTTGCGATAGACAAAACGTACGGGTGTTCCTTTTGGTAATAAGTCGCGTTCAAATCTTTGAGTGCGCAGCTTCAGTGTGCATTCAGATGTATTTATGGTGGTGAACGAATATTACTCTTCAGTATCTTTCCAATTAAAATTTACAATAGTTTGTAGAATTGTTTATTTTGAACAAGCGATTTTTATCTGATGAGTTGCAGTGGTTGTTTGAATAAAACTAGTCTTTCTTTAAGGTCCAGTCCGCGCTAACCTAAGTATTTTTAAAAACTGAGTTTTCTTTTAATCTCAGTTGCTGCAGTTTTTGGTGACAAAATCGAAGCATTACA